TGGGGGAAACTGTACCCCAAATTTTTTAAAGCAAAACTCGTGTCATGTGTATGTGTTAAGCTACAGTGGGGTCAAAACTGCAGGGGTGGTGGCCCCTGCTGAGGCCACGAAGCCTGCCAAGTTTCAAGGTGATAGATGCAGGGGTTTCTAGGAAAGTGCACCTCAAACTGCTGGCAAGCAAAACTCATGACATAGGTGACACTGTGTGTGTGTTAAAGCACAGTGGGGGTGAAAACTGCTGGCCCGCTAGGGCCTGCTGTAGCCACAAAGGCTGCCAGCTGTCAAGGAGATAGGTACAGGGGGAGTCTGGGTTCTGGGGCCCTGCACCTCTGGCCACAGGCAGGCATAACTCGTGACATGGGTGTTTGTGGGACTATGTGTGTGTTCAGATGCACCCTTCCTGACGCTGGGGCCTCTGTACAACACGGCAGTATACCCCCATGAGGTCTCCTCCTCCCCTACAACCTTGGTCCAGTCCACCACTATAAATGACGGCAGGTCAAAATAACTTAGCTGGCTCAACACCAATAGCACCAGCAGCATCAAAGGTACCCAGACAGAACTGGGTACACTCGTAGTGTGTGATGGTTTATCTTGTGTTTTTATGTTTATATGTTTATTATGAAAAAAACCAAAATAGTTAGAAAAGTATATCTTAGGAAGCTTTTGAGTTGAAAAACCCTTTGTCAGGCTGAGGAAGCACCTGCAGTTGGTGTGTCTCCTGGTCCTGGATGGAAGGAATATTAAAGAAGCCAGAGGCTGGCCTAGCCCGCAATGCAGGCAAGAAAGCCAGTTAGTGAAAATGGAAACGGAGGCATCAGGGGGTGAGGGACAGGCTGGGGGTGGGGGAGGTGGAAGGGAGTTGTGGAAGCACAGGTAAAAGTGCAGAGGTACCTGAGGAGTCAGATCTATCAAAGGCAACAATACCCAACTACCTGTGGGGGTGGGGGCACTTTCCTCACCAAAAAAACACTCTGCTTCCAGTCTCTCAGGCCTGATCCTGGAGGGAACAAATTACAAAACACTTTTCACAGCCGGGCCTATGTTCACTTCATCAGCCTCCTAGGTACAGAAACTCATGGACTGACTATAAATTAGACAGTGGAATTCTGACACACTACAACCTGCTGGACATCTCACTCCCATCAGTTTTCACGCCGCTGTGGCTTAACGTGTACATGTGACGTGAGGTTTGCTTTCAGGACTTTGAGGTGCAGTTTCCCAGAAACCCCTGCACCTATCAACTTGAAACTTGGCAGGCTTCATACCCTCAGCAGAGGCTACCACCCCTGCAAGTTGCATTTGAATCAGCCAAAAACCAACAAAGTTATAGATATTTAATTGATTCCCTATTATACCCTATCGCCGAATCTCCGAATCAGCTCCAAATCTTTTCCTAATCAATTCGGCCAAATTGAATCAAAAAAGCAATTCGAATCTCTGAATTGAATCAGCCAAATCGAAATCGAATAGTTGCCTATTTGCACAGGCCTTAGCAGGCAGGCTCCATAGGAAAAAAGGATTGGGCCCCTCACTGCTTCTGCCCGTGAGCAGTCTTCTGTGCCTGACAGGATGCCTGGGACTGCCTGGGAATGGGCTGGCTTGTCCCTGGAGCAGCACAGGAAGGTGGCAGAAGCACAGCTGGGTTTGCTGGCAGCTAAAGAAGACTGCGGGGAGAATGCATGGGGCAATGGAAGCCCGGGCAGGCTGCTAGCTGGCCAGGTGCTGCCCTAGCTTGGAGGCACCTGATCCAACACTTCCCTGAGCCTTCCCAGGCTTCCAGCACCCTGTGCACCATCCCTGCCACCTTCTCCGGCTGCCAGCACACCCAGCCACCCTCCATCCAACTCCCCACAGTGCCCCAGGAGCAAGCTGGGTGTGCTGTCAGCCAGAGAAGGTGGCAGGGATAGTTCACAGGGTGCTGAAAGGTCAGGTGGGCTTGGGGAAGCCTTGGATCAGGCGCCTCTGAGCTGAGGCAGCACTCAGCCAGCTAGCAGCCAGGCTGGGCAGCCCCATGCACCATCCCTACCACCATCTCTGGCCGCCAGCAAACCCAGCCTCCTTCCTGCTGCCTTCCCACACTGCCCCAAGAGCAAGGTCCATTCCCGGGCAGCCCTAGGCATTCGTCTGGCTGCAAGAGCCTGCTGAAGGCAAAAATGGTGAGGGGCCTGATCTTTTTTTTTTCCTATGGAGCCTGCCCTCCTCTCCTGCAGCTGGAGGGTGAGTCTCTGCTGGGCTAAGTGGCCCCTGAGCTGCAGGGGGTCCCAGTCCATCCCTCCGCGGTGGCAGCACCACTCAGGGCCGCCTGGGTGGGCTGCTAGCGGGCTTGGTGCTGCCCCAGCTTGGGGTTGGGGAAGA